TGACATATCAGGCTCATAAGTGTTTATCAGATGGGTTGTGATTTTGTTCCTTGGATGTCTTGAATTGTATTGTAAACACTTGTTGTGTGGCAGAATAACGTCTCCGGAATCTTTTTTTGCTTGAAATTTCCGCAGTATACCTGTAAATAACTCTTATACAAGGTGTATCTGAATGACTGCAACAAACTTCAAGGGGTGATTCTTTAGTGAATTTTAAGGCTACTTTGATATATGAACCATGGGCGACTTCGGCTCCCCTAAGGAGCTACACCCCTCCAAAAATGGCGGAAAATTTTGGTTTAATTTTTTTTTCTCAAAAACCATAAACGCTAGGAAAATGAAATTTGGGGAATATGTTTAACTCATAATAGGGCACGTTTTGACCCTATTTGTACTTTCAACCTACCCTTCTAAACTACTAAACGTAACCACCCCCGTTCAATTTATGCCTAGATTTTTTTTATGAAGATGATAAATACATTGGAAAAATTTCAGTTAGATAGATAAAACTATTCTAAAACTTTTTTGTCTCTTTGATGTTCTTCTAAAATTTAATAATTTCTGAGAAAAAAAATAATTAAGCAAACACTAACTGTTAAGCTGTAGGGTTGTTAATCGAAAGTTGGAATGAATTTTTAATGAAAAAATCTTAGTAGGCTTTGCAATCTTTGTCAGAAATATTTTTGACGTTTAAATGTCAGTTTTTCTTACTATTATTATTGTTTTTCAAATTAATTTTTGAATAAAGTTCTATCGCATTTACGCTCGTTCACTCGACGTTTCAAAATTTTAAATAAAACAATAATAAAGTAAGAAAACCACTGACATTTAAACGTCAAAAATATTTCTGACAAAGATTGCAAAGCCTACTAAGATTTTTTCATTAAAAATTCATTCCAACTTTCGATTAACAACCCTACAGCTTAACAGTTAGTGTTTGCTTAATTATTTTTTTTCTCAGAAATTATTAAATTTTCGAAGAACATCAGAGAGACAAAAAAGTTTTAGAATAGTTTTATCTATCTAACTGAAATTTTTCCAATGTATTTATCATCTTCATAAAAAAAATCTAGGCATAAATTGAACGGGGGTGGTTACGTTTAGTAGTTTAGAAGGGTAGGTTGAAAGTACAAATAGGGTCAAAACGTGCCCTATTATGAGTTAAACATATTCCCCAAATTTCATTTTCCTAGCGTTTATGGTTTTTGAGAAAAACAAATTAAACCAAAATTTTCCGCCATTTTTGGAGGGGTGTAGCTCCTTAGGGGAGCCGAAGTCGCCCATGGTTCATATATGAAAGTACCCTTAAAATTCACTAAAAAATCACCTCTTGAAGTTTGTTGCAGTCATTCAGATACACCCTGTATGTTAGTGTTCCAATTCCTTTTTTACTTCGTTTCGAAGATTGCACGTATGTCGATGTTATAGTTTCTCATTTCAATCATAACATCTTAATCTCTTGTTAGTATATGAAAATTTAACACGACTGTTATATACACAACCATGCTTTCCACGTTCAACCTGGCAAAGATAGACCACCAATTAATATGGGTTAGAAGTTCATTATTCCCACGGTATTAGCCTTCATACAAAAAAATTGATAATAATGATAATAGATAATGATAACAAATGATAATAGCATAAGTGCTAATGCAGTAACCGTATCTTATGAGAACTATGTTATGAATTGTTGATTAAAGTAATCTGCAATAATGTTCACGAGATCTGGATATTTATTGCGTATAGTAGATACACTGGATAAGATACATCCAGTGGCTCTTTGATAATGGGAGGAAGATACACACAACACAAAATCGAATGGAATTGTCCTCAATGCATTTTAAACCGCATATCTTCTGAATTGGTAGACGATGTTGATTTTCAGTATATTGTATACAGGGTGAGTCAGAAAGAATGGGAAATCCGAATACCGGAGATACTAGACACCAAAATATGATGATTTAACCTAACATCTCTTATACAAATGTCAGTGGTTTTCGAGGCACAGGGTGTTGAAAGTTAAATTCTTATTTCGAAAGCTTTGAGGTATAAGAAATAGGAATTTGAAACTTGTATTATTATTGCTCGTAGAGGGCGCTAGATACACACTACTCGTTTGATAAATCAAGTCATGACTATTTTGTCAGTTGAGGTATGGTGAATTAGAACCAGAAATCTGAAGGAGCTTTCAGTTCTACACAAAAAAGGTAGTCTTGCTTACATTGTCTAAGTCTACTGGTTTCCAAGTTATCTGCTTTTAATTGTTTCAAAGTAATTTTAAGGTTAACATTTAAAATCAATAACGCACAGTAACTATAGCAATTAGTAACGATAATAATCGATAACAATAACAATTAATTAATAACAATGGAATATTGTGACCATATTCAAAAATGGGCCCACAACCAAAATCGGGACTTGTCTTGCCCCCAATTCGCTCTTTCGTTGCTCCATTCTAGCCTGCGTAGACGGTGAAGTGGTGTAAGAGGAAGACATAAAATGGACGATATGAACACAGCCGCCCATAAGATCTTATCCGGCGATAAACAGACGACATTTTCATTCTAGGTCCTACACCTCTCATCCAATCATTTGCAATTGAACGAGTTGTTGAAAATCTGTCTCTTGTGGCCAAAAGTCTTAAGCGACGTTCTTCGCGATCTGTAGTCCTGGTCGTTGCACCCTTTCCTCGGACTATTTGGACCAACATCTCAATACCGCTGTAACATTTCGGTTAACACGACGAGCAATTTCTCTTAGCGAAAGTCCGGCCTCTCTCATGCCACTAATACGGAGACGTTCAAAATCAGTCAATTGAGAAAAATGTTCATATTGACATACTCTTGGTATTGTTCCCAAGTTCAGAAGGAAATTGTGAACAATAATTTGCAAAATTGACAGTGATTTGTTTATTTCTTCAAATTTATTGTTACTAAGTGAAAACGAAAAAACAAAAAAAGAACCAAACTACTAGCTAGATTTTATTCAAAGTTCAATCGTTTGTTTGTTCTAATGAAAGACATCGTTGACCAAAATTTCATTAAAATTGTTCAACAAATTCTAGGTGTTGTAACTGTTATGGAAGTCAATATACAGGGTGTTTCAGGTTTTTGTAGCAGGACTTTAACAGTCGATAGATCTTTGAAAATTAGCACAAAAACGTCATATAAACATAGGTCGACAATCTCTTTGTTTTAAGATATTTGTTTGATAGATTAAGTTAATTTTTTTAATTGATTTTTATTTAATATTGCACGTGTATTTCAACCGATTCTATTCAAATTTTGTTGTTGATCAGTGTTAAATTAATTTTTTCTTATTCGTTAACGTGTTAAATTCAATTTTCTTGTTTATTAACGTGCTAAATTCATTACTCTTTTTCCTAATCGTGTTAAATTGTTTTTTTTTTCATTTTTTAATTTTTTGTTTGCTGCATAACAACTTTATAAAATGCCGTTTATTTTTCCTAACCAAAAGTTAGCGGATATTTATTTTGTTTATGGCTTTGAAAACGGAAATTAAGCAGAACTAGCCCTAGAGTATAGGAGAAGATATCCAAATAGAAGACATCCGTATACTTCTGTGTTTGGGAAAGTGCATAAACAAATAGTTGAACAAGGGCTAAATAATGACGGGTAGATCGTAATAATGACAATATTAGATTGCAAAGAAACTTTAGAAGAAGAATTTTGCGTAACGTCGACAGAGACCCCACTACGAGTGTTAGAAGAGTTACGAATGCCTTACAAATTTCTAGGACGTGTGTTTATCGCCTTTTAAAACATGATCATAGACATGCTTATCATTTACAACCGTTGCAAGGATTGGAATCAGGCGATGAAGAACGGCTTGTAACATTTTCTCCCATTTTTCTACAAGATGGATTGGTTGTGGTGGACCAGTCGCATAGCCCCACGATTTGCAGATCTTAATGCTTTAGACTTTTTTGTGTGGAGATATTTGAAAGGAAAATTGTATGAGACACCTGTTCCCACAACGAATGAACTTTTAATAGGATTAGGAATGCTTGTAATGACATAAGGCCGTTCTTAAATACCATTACTCGATCAGTAATTCGTCGGTCAGAATTATGCAAGCCAAGTTTTTTAAATTTTCAACAATTTCTTTAATTTTTTTCTTTTATTATTTAGATTAAAAAACATTAACAAACTAAAACATTAGTTAATTTACCTACTTTGCTTCCATGGCACACATTATTTTAGCTGTCTTTAACTATCCTCTAAAAACATTGGTCTGTATCGAATAATAAAAAGCGGATTAACTTGAAAACGATAAACTTTAGCGCATTTTGATAAGAGTACACTTTTTGCTTAAAAAGTACAGAGAATAAGAGTTTTTATTCAAAAAGCCAACAAGTATACTATCAGAAAAGTTATTGTTATTTTAATCCGTAAAGAATACGTTGCAGAGCGCTCTCTACCGGCTATAGTAAAACGGACTCTATAATCGTCTTGCTCATACCAGAGAACCTCCGTATTTCCAAAACAAAGCGTTTGTCGACCTATGTTTATATGAAGTTTTTGTGTTAATTTTAAAAGATTTATCGACTGAAACACCCTATATATTGCCTTAAGTATGTTGGACGATCTGTCTATGAAAATCGTCGTGCTTCAGTTCGTGAAATTAATTAATTAAATGAAAAACAAAAATGTATTCCACATGATCTCGATTATTTGTATATAGTTTATTAGTTATAACGACATATATGTTAAGAGTTTTCAATATAATACCCAATACCCTTACCGTAAATTTTTATGATAAAATACTAAGTTAAAAACGAAGTGTACATACTAATACTGAGATAATACAAATTTTACTTACAAATTTGCTATTTTTCAAGTAAACTTAAGCATAGTCTGTATTCAAGTTTATCGGATCATATAACTAGCTGAAATATTACGTATGTAGTTATTATCACGTACAATTTTTTAAGTTGGAGTACAATTTTGACTCATTCTTGGGGTTATCCAGACCAAAATATGTCCTACGATGGAATTATAGGAGAAATTCAAAAGAAAAGGGCTGATATAGGTACTGGGTTATATGCCAGACCGGATCGAATACCTTATGTTGATTATGGTGCATCAGTTTATACTTTAGAGTATGAATATTTCTGTCCAAAATATCTACACATTTTTGACTCAATTACTCGGTTTGCATTATTCCAATATTATTTCAGTTCAGTGACCCAATCAGGAACTACTTATGTAGATATAAACTACACTGTGTTAATTAATTATCATAACCAACGTCATCATTGCAAGTATATAACCAAATACGCAAATCGCGTTTTGCAATACCAATACTGTGATATTGGTTGCATATTTGCAATGATGACGTCGGGTACGATAATTAATTAACACACTGTAGACGTGGAACAATATGAAGAGCTTGAAATTCCATTATAGTACAATACATACATACTATATTAAGGAATCTAACTGGATTGACAGTCTTTAACCAATTGCCTAATTCTAACGTGGCTTAATTTGTAATAATTATCTATATTAATATATCTCCTTAGATATTACACTGTACTGGGATCGTAATATTGTTCATATTAATAAGAAATAATTGGAATAATGTGACCGTCTATAATCTACTGATACTTTTGACATTAGTTAATTTAATACACTATTTTTAAATTTAGAAATGGTATTATGTTTCTTGGTCAAGGTCACGTTTTACCATACTTAATTTATATAAGACCATTGGATACGAAGGTTTGGTACGTTCTCATTTTGCTAGTTACGTTAATACAAGTTATTTTGAGAATTGTACAACGCGTTGCCAATGTTACAAGCGACGAAAAAACTGAAAATAGTTGGAGTCAAAGTATTATTTGTATTCTAGGACATTTATGTCAACAAGGTAAATAAAATACATACTAAGAAAGATTCCGTAAAGTCATGTAATAATATGGGTTATAATTGGTTGTCGAGTCTTTTGTAATACAGTTGTACATATCAAACGAGTTCTGCAGTCAGTAGATGACAATTTTGTGCTTGCATAGAGCTTTTAAACAGTGTTAAATATAATATGTATATCAATGTCATGATATAATTTAATGCAGGGAGGGGAAGGGCGGCCATGGTAAATGTGGCAAGAATGACAAGAGATGGAGAGAGAAATAGAGAGGGGTGAATGTGTTGATGATACCACAACCGATCTTCTGTAGATTTTCACAGTTTCGTTACGTTTGGCTATTTTCGGTTGCTTGAAGTTGACTTGTACTTAGTATTTTTAGTTTATTTCTTGCTTATGTGTATTTTATTAGTATATAATTTTGTTAACAGCTCATATAAACTTTTAGTCAATTATTAACTTTTTAGTCAAAATCACTTCTCTTCCAAGTTACAGCCCTCTAAAATTAGGGGAAAAAATGTTTTTCTTTCATAAATCCACTATGGAGGAATTTGGAAGGATGAAATTTGGCAGATAACTGTTGCTAATAAAATAAAACTTTTTAACGATTTTTATTACCCGAAAATGTTATTACAAGGGGCTGAAATAATCAACCCCTATAATACTTTGCATCAGAACTTTCTAATGTGTCTACATTTTTCTATTTAAAAACTTGATTCAAATAAAGGGATTCAATACGCAACTTTTTTGTCCCTTGATATTTTCTTCTAAAATTGTTAGTTTGATCACAAAAAAATAAGCTAGTACACAGGCTCAAGTGAATTCATTCAGAGATTGGTTATTGTTAGTCAAAGAAATTAAGTTATGTCAAATTGATCTCAGCATTATTTTATTTTTTGTGATCAAACTAACAATTTGTTAGTTGTAAAATGTCAAGAGATAAGAAAGTTGCAGATTTTTTCTCTTAGCTTTAGTGGGCTATATAACTTGGAGGAAAAGTGGTTTTGACCAAAAAGTTATATGAAAGACCCCCTTTATTTTCGCTGAAAAATCAACCCTTACGATCTTTCGCAATATAGTTAACATCTAAATATAACAACAAGACATACAGAGAAACCCGAAAGTTAAACGATAGAGTAACAGTACAAAACTATAGAAGACAAAATATGTTTTTAAAAATATTCTTTTCTGACGTGGCACGCTCCTGATGATGAATGCGGTTAGCGTTTGAAACCGGTTGAGCCAATAGGAAATTATCCATCTAAATACATAAAGTTTTATTATTTTATAACTAAGCTTGTTGTGTGTTCTGTAAAATATGATAATTTCATTTTGATTCGCCGAAACAACTTTTATAAACTTTTTACAATTTAACAAATCAAAATTTAACAGAACAAAATCAAAATTTAAGAAATCAAAATCATAATAAGCAAATTAATATCAAAAATTTAACAAATTAAAATTTCATCTTTGCTCCTTTTTTGTTTTGGTGATTTTCTCGGTGTTAACCGTGGCATTCCCATAATGGGACTGAGTTCGTATGCTCTTGGTATTAGTCCGTGTAAAGCCATACTTCCTTGTATATCTCCTTCATTCTCTTCCATTCTTGTCACAACTCCACAACTCCTCTTAAACTCATCTTCCTAGCTGGCAGTTGGTCTTCCTTTTCTTCTATTTTTGTCTATTGGGTACCATTCTAAGATTTTCTTGGTCCATCCCTCATCTTGTACTCTTATAATATGACCCGCCCAATTCCATTTCCGATCCAATACTATTCTTCCAATATCCTCGATGTTTGACTTTTCCTTTATCCATTCTTTTGTTTTTGTTATCTTTCTTCGTAATGCCAATCATCCTTCTATGCATTGCCCTTGCTGTTACCCTAATCTTTTTAATTGTTTTGTTTGTTAATATCCATGTCTCGCATCCATAAATTTTCTTTTTCTCCATTTCTATGTTTAATTTCCATATATTTTTGTATTTGTTAAACATTTGCCATCCCATTGCCATTCTCCGTGTTATTTCTTCTCTTGTGTTTTTAGTTGTAATCTTATGTCCTAGATATACGAAATACTCTACTTTGTCGATTTCCTTTCCATTAACAATTATTTCATTTTTTTGTTCACAATTGACGTACATTGCTTTTATCTTGCTCATATTTATCTCCAGACCAGACCAGACCTTCGGAGGATGGTAGGTGTTGCTCTATTCTCCTTGTGATTATGGACATAAATATTTTATATATTACCGGGAGTAAACTTATTGGTCTGTAATTGTTGATATGTTCCCTATCGCCTTTTTTGTATATTAAGGCAAGTTTAGCTACGAGCCAGCTATCAGGTATCTTTTCTTGTTTCAAACAATTACTAAAAATTTCCTTCAATATTTTCATTATATGGTTTCCTCCTGCCTTTATTTCTTCATTTCTTATCTGATCTATACCTCCAATTTTCCTTCCTTTAGCTTTGATATTACATCACTTACTTCTTCTGTCATTATTTCGTATTGTATCTGTTCATTCTCTCTCTCTTCAGCCTCCATCGTGTCTGCTACCGCATTCCATTCAATTCCTTCTTTTTCCGCCTTGTTGTATAGTTCCTTATAAAAGTCGCATATAATGTTTAATATTTCTGCATCTTCCCTTTTGCTCATACCGTTTTTACCTTTCATTACTGTTATTTTGTTTTGTCCTAGTGATTGTTGTCTCACACTTTTTCTTATACTTCCTCCCGTAGTAATTGCATCTTCTAATTCTATTATTTTTTTGTTATATGACCATACTTTCCATTTTTCTTTATTAATTTTGATATTTCTGTGTACTCAATTTTTTCTCGTCCTGATCTCTTTATTGTTTTTCTTTTATTTAATAGTTTACGTATATCGCATGGTAAATTTAACCTTTGTTTTTCTTTTTTTGTATCTTTTTGAATATCCTTTGCAACCTTTGTTATTGCCTTAGTTATTATATGTTTTTGCTTTTCTATGTTAGGGTTAGCTTGAATTTCCTCCAAACTTAATTCGCATTTTATTCGGTGTTCAAAGTTTTCTCTTTTTGATTCATCAGTAGATTTGTAACTTATCATTTTCTTTACGCACGGTATCTGTCGTTTCGTGCTTATCTGTACTGTCATCTTTATTATCTACGTTTTGTATGATTTCTCTCTTGTCTACTATGAAAAAATCTATTTCGTTCCTTGTTTGTCCATCCGGGCTAATCCACGTCCATTTCTTATCATTAGCTTTATTATAAAATGTATTCATTATGTAAAATTTATTTCCCTCTATAAATTCCACCAACTTTTCTCCACTTTCATTTCTATTCCCAATGCCGAAATTACCAATACATGATTCGCCCTTTTTTTTTACCAACCTTTGCATTAAAGTCTCCCATAACCATGGTATATTTATATTTATCATCATCAATTGCCATCTGTAGGTTTTCAAAAAACTCGTCTCTTTCTTCCTCATTTGCGGTAGAGGTGGGTGCATATACTTGTATGATTTGTATTCTCCCGGCTTTTTTATTTTCAAGGTTTAATATAATCTTCGCAATTCTATGTGAATATGTTTTAAAGGAGGTAATATTATCTATACATCTTTTATTTATTAAAAATCCGTCTTTTCTAACCCGTTATAGTAAAATATTGTTCCCTTTACATTTATAGACCGCTCTCCTTTTCTTCTGACCTCACTCAATCCTATTATATGCCAATTTCTCTCAAAGTTCTAGTTATAGGTCAGTATTTCAAGTATTTTTTTATTATGATGTCGATTTATCTTTTGCATCTTTTCTACTTTATTCTGTATATTCTGTGTGTTTAGCCAGGTTGTAGGGTAGTATGTTTCCATTTTCGATTTTCTTATTTTTGCCATGGTCGTTATACATATTTGAGTGTAGATTGGTATTATAATTTAATTGCTAGATATTGTCATTTTGTGTGTTTTTCGTTGCTGTCTCTGCTTTTGTGTTTTGCTTGTTTAAGTCCCCTGCAGTGAACGAGTGCGACTTTGGTCTCATAAAGTAAGTATCAATTTTCTTATGGAGGTCAGGTGTGCTTATTCCTCTACTCTCTGTTATCTCGTTAATTTTTTTAATCTGTTGTCTCCCTTTTTTCGTTTCTTCATTTTCATTATAGTTCATTTTTTTTGAATTATTACCCACCATTACCAATTGCATGACTTTACGTACATAAAAAAAACTTAAAACAAATTTAATGTAAATAATTTAATTTTTGTAAAGGTGCGTCAGATATTCCTCGGCTATATTCCGGTCGTATTTTAATTTTTACGCTCTCACAATTTGCTTTACTTCTTTTTCAACTCTATTCAGCAAGCGTTGTTTCATCACTTTTAATAAAACCGCCGTCTGACATACGTAATTTAAAGGATTTAGTTCGCAGTGACTTGGAATTTGGTTGTGAAGATCTAAAATACGTTAGAGATTTATTTAATGTAATACATGCCATTTTATTTAATTTTTGTTTATTCTAATTAACTTTTCTTATAGACGACAAATATTCAGGTGTTAAAAGAGTTAAAGGGAAAGAAATTGAAGGAAGCTAATTATATGCCACCAAAAGAAGGATTAGCATTGGTTAACAAAGGAACATTTGCTTATCACACAGAATTGAAAACGGCTTACCCAATGATTGAAAGGACCTTTTCGAATACACACGTTTGCGATTTACAATTTTTAAAATTGGTTCGAGATGCGAATTTATATACGAATTATCAGAAAAGTTCGCCTTTTAGAGATATGATGAATGTTTGGTTATTATTTCATACTAATTAAACCCTTTTTGATAAATTATTATTTATAATTTTTATATTTTTAGTATACGAAGATTAGATGAAACGGGATTAACGGATCATCTTCAGAAAGAATGGGGGTTTAGAAAACCAGTGTGCTTTAGAGAACCTTATTTAGCTGCTTCTGTGGGCATCAACGAATTCTTGCCATTAGCTACATTACTTTTTGTGGGATATCTTATAAGCTGTTTGATATTAATCGTTGAAATTTATTCCCGTCAATTTACAGTAAAGAATTCAAGAAAACTTGAATTAAAGATTACGAAGTGATTGGAATGAAAAAAGAAGCTTTCGTTCCAGTAGATTCTTAGAAAATATTTTTGAATTGCAATAACTGTCAGTCATTTTAAATTTTAACGAACACATCAATCACTTTTCAACGAAGTTTGCAAAAGTAAACACAAATGCGCATAAAAGAGATTGTAAAATACTAAAGGTTTCTACTTCTGTTTGTAATATTGTTCAAGTCGCTATGAATCGTTTAGTTATATTATTGTTGTGTATTTACAACGTTTATTCGCAAGTTGATATTATAAAAGAGTACCTTAATAGTAAATTTCTCACATTAGGATATGTATTTACATGTATCACAACGCAAGGTTAAATACAAAAAAATTTTAGCGAATAATTTTATAGTTTTATTGATTTTAAGAAAATTTAAATTCTTTTTTTCAGACAAAATAAATTTAGTCAATCACCTTTCTAAACTATATTTACGTTTCGTAATCGTAAACATGGATGAATCTATTAATCCAAATTTACTTATAGAAACAAATAAAATAGCCGTAATTGTTAATGGATCTTGTTCGAATACAGCGACTTTCTTAAATCAGGTAAACAACTTTTTTATTCAACTACTTCTTAGTGTTAAATCGAATTCGATATCTTTGAACTGGTAATACTAGAAGTCAAAATATGTTGCTTTAGTTCAACATGCTTTATTGTATTAATAATGTCGCAGGTTTAGAAAATAGCAATAATAATATAGTAAAACCTCGGACTAATACGGGGAAAGGAGTGTCCGTTATAGTCAAAAGTTTTTGAAAAATGAAATTTTTTTAATTTGCACATTAAACTGTTTGAATGAATAATTTTAATGCACACAAATTCGGACAGAAATATCCACACCGTTGCGTTCAGTCTACCTGGCTTTATATTTATACTAAGGACGGTAGAATCTAAGCAGAGCTGTGGCAGTACTAAGAAAATGTATTCGAGTACCGGGTATATGTCATAATTGAGGAACGAGTACAGAGTATTGGTACTGTACAGAGTACAGAATACTGGTACAGTACCCGGAGTATAAGTACCGGAACTTTTCGAGTACTTTTAAAACGTAGATTTGGCTAACATTTATGTTTGGATTATGCAAAAGCAATATAAACAAAATATTCTACAAAAAAAAGTTTTTAATGTTTAAGAATAACTTGAAAAAGAAAGCAAAAAAAAGGAATCCTAAAAATACCACCTGATAAGTGTTATCTTATTGCGATTCTTTATTGACCTTCATTACCACCAGTTTTTCGCAACTAGAATCGCTGCGAGTATTTCGCCGTGGACTCTTCACTATTGACGCAAAAGAAAATAATCGCTCTACTGGTGCAGACGAAGGTAAACAAGTATAATACCTCAAAAATATTTCTTTTATTATTGGGTAATCGTTCAAGCTATTCATTTCGCTCCTTTTGTCATCAAGATATTTGTATAGCTCAATTTTTGATGTTTTCACTGCTTCCTTTTCAGTGACAGAGATATTCATAACGTGTTTTTATATTTCGGGTTCATTAAAATCAAAGAAGTCTAAAATCAAAGATGTATCGGAAGAATAACAATGCTGCTTTTCCTGGCCTCTGTATTCCCAATATAAGCGACAGGCTGTTTATTAACGAACATCTGACTCCCGTTTCCGCTGAATTATTTAAAAAGAGTAAAGAGGCATGCCGCCTGAAGGAGTACAAGTTTTGCTGGTTGAAAAATTGCGTAATACACGTTCGTCGCGACGATAGATCGTGGGTCATGATTATTAAACCGGCCGAAGACTTGTCAAAGCTTTAGGTCAACCACAATTAAAAATTTGTATCAAGCCCTTTATTTAGACTATGACTCTGTCTATTTACTATCAGAATGTGCGTGGTTTGCGCACGAAGACTGCTATATCTTATGCAAAGTCGCTGAACCTGACCCACGATTTGGTGTGTTTAACAGAGACTAATCTGAACGATTCCATCTACAGCGGTGAGATCCTTTGCAGTAATTACGTCATTTATCGTCGTGACAGAAATTCGACTGTTTCTGCTGCTTTTGAAGGCGGTGGTGTTCTTGTTGCGGTTCGCGCGGGCATTGTCGCTGTCCCAGTACCTAGCTTTCATTCGAATGTCGTGGACCTTTGGTTGAGTGTACGCTTCTGTGGCTCGCGAGTGTTGTTGTGCTGCGTATATTTGCCTCCAAGTGATTCTGTGTCATTAAACCTTTTCCTCCGTCAACACCAGCACGTACACGACCGGTCTCCAGACACACCTATATTATTTCAATGTTCCCAACATTTCTTGGGCCACGTCAGTCACGGGGAACCTTGTGCCTGTTATCGTCGCTAACCCTCGTGCGACTGAGTTACTTCTTACTATTTCTTATTGTAATTTGTCTCAGTTTAATAATATTGCTAACAATAACTCCAGATACCTAGATTTAATTTTGTGCAACTCAGGAGGAGTCGATTAGGTACGCTAATGTAGCGATCCACTACTTGACTTGGATGGGCATCACCCTGCTTTAGAATTTTTGTTTAAGTTTGATAAACCTCATGTCTTGCGTGAGAGCCCATCGGTCAGCTGGAGGTTTGATCGTGCGGATTTTGTCGGTCTCAGGGGTGGGCTGGCAAGTGTTGATTGGCGCAGTTTGTTTAGTGGGTTAGATGTAGACCTCTGTGTTGATACTTTTTATTCTGCTTTATATGAATATATGAATGAATTCGTTCCCAAGAGCTTCTCCCGTAATAATTGTTTTCCTTATTGGTATACGCCTTCCACTGTTAAAGAAAAGTTGAAATACCATAAAAAGTGGAAGAGATTGGGAAATCGAAACGACTATCTTTCCTTTAGCTTCCAGCGTAAGCGTGCCAAAGCTTTAATTGCTGCTCATTATCGCACTTATGTAAATCGCATTCAGAGTAACTTGATTGATTGCCCATCTAGTTTGTGGTCTTTTGTTAAAACTAAAAGACGCGGTGGCGGCGGTATTCCGTCTCGAATGGAGCTGAACGGTTAGGTGACAGATGACGGGTAGCGAATTTCTGAGTTTTTTAGTTCTGTTTATATCGACGGTTGCCTGCACACCTCTCACAAACGAAATGTTATTTACCAATCGCAGCCTTGGTTTTATGACCGTGATGATCACCTTCTGACATAAGTCGACCATAAATTGGGCCCTGGCCCCGATGGCTTGCCTTGACACTTTATTGCTAAATGTGCAGGGGAGTTGGCAACTCTTCTATTCATTATCTTCAGTCGCTCCATTGAAAATTCAGTCTTTCCCTCTGAATGGAAAAAAAGCCTTCATAACTCCAGTCTTTAAATCGGGTAGTAGACATTTTGTGTGCAACTATCGTCCAATTTTCCTATTATCCATTGTTTCGAAGGTCTTTGAAAAATTAATTTATGACAACTTATATAGCTATCTTCGACCTGCTATTATCCCTCAACAACACGGTTTTTTGCGTGGACGATCAATTGAGACGAATCTGGTTGCGTTTGTTCAATATATTCAGAATTCTATGAATGATAACTCTCAGGTGGATGCTATTTACACGGATGTGACAAAAGTTTTGACAAGCTTCACCATAACATTCTTATTAAGCTGAACAAATTTAACTTATCTAACGGGCTGTCTCTATGGATTTCGTCCTATATATCTAAGAGGGTTCAAGCAGTGAAAGTAAATAATTATCTAGTTTTACTCCTGTTACATCTGGTGTACCTCAAGGTAGCCACCTTCGACCCATTTTATGTCTTGCCTATATAAATGATGTTTCTGAGTGCTTTCATTATTCGAATTTTTCTCTTTTCGCTGATGACTGTAAAATTTTTGCTAGCATCAGGTCTGCTTCTGACTGTATTCGGTTGCAAGATGACATTGACAGATTTGATTCTTCTTGCTCACAAAATTACTTATATCTAAATCCTGATAAGTGTTGTCAGATCACGTTCAGTAGAAAGAGATATAATGTTAACTTCAAATATAAACTAGGTCCGCATTATCTTACTCAATCCTCTACAGTTAAAGATCTTGGCGTTGTTTTGGATTCTAGACTACTCTATCGCGATGATATTACTTCTATCGTTTCTGAAGCTACATACTAAGCGCCTAGGATTTATCATTAGGATTTCTCGTCCATTTACTAACGTCCGCTGCATTACTTCTTTGTATATGGCATGTTGCTAGCGGTTTAAATTTAGCCTTGGTAGTGTGGAGGATTTTTCCTGTACTTGTCCCGAATATGAATAAATAAATAAAAAAAGTCATCAGGTGTTCTATCTCTAGAACCTTCATGTTCGCTACCATCATCGTCAATAGGTATAAGTTCCTCCGCAGCTCCGATTACCAATATCTTCATAGCGTTCAGAGAATACTTTGGGGTTTTTAAAACATTAAACAATCGCAGCTTAAATTTGGGATGAACAATAGCAGAAATAATTGCAGACTCTGACGTTAAATTAACTATGTCGGAAAACCTTGTATTTAAGCTATCCATACATGTTCTTAAAAGTAATTCACCATTGGAACTCATACAATGGAGCTTTAATTGTTTCCATTTATTTCTTAGAGAAAGAAGACTCGGCAGTAAGTATCCATAATGAACACAATCCTGTCCTTGCAAAACGTGCCTCGAGTGTTAAAACAAGAGGTTTCAATACTATACAGTACTTTTCAAGGAACCGCAACTCGGTTTCCTTAAAATTTTTAATGTTAAGCCTTTGGCACAGAGACCGAAGTGGTGCTTTTACATTCAAGTGACTTAAGATCTGAGAAACCGAATCAAAATAGGAATTCTATCTTGTTATTCCTGGATAACTTCGAGTATTTCCCAAAACCTCTTTGATTAAAAATTGAAACTATTACATTTTGAAAAAACTAGTGTATGTCTCGTTCTTAGTGTAACATTTGATTGAATTGAATTTTTGCAATTGGTCGTGGAAATTAAATTTAACGTATGACTGGCACATTGAATATGCGCTGGTAGCATTATTATTCTAGTGTCAGGTGTATTTGAACTCCGGACATATTCGATTTCATTCATCTGATCTTCTTCATGATCTTCATCCAGTGCATGTCTGTGTCTGGTTTTGTTAACCTCTAATTCTTGGGATTCTTCTGTAACCGAGCATTCACGGAATGCTTTAACAAAATTCGAACCATTGTCCGTTACTGTCGCGACGATTTGGGCTAATCTAATATTGATGACTAATTGTGTTAAAAGTTTAAAAGTATAGTTTTTTCAACATATGTCAATCTTCTCTGTAAAAGTGAATTCTCAATACATTTTTGTAGAAAAACAGTGTTCGTCTCATCCTTCTTTTTTCGTTAAAGTATGTGTAAC